ACTCCCTCTCATTCACATTGATATGATTTTTTGTTCTGGGTCTTTGATGCCTGATACCTGATCCTATCGGCACATCATGATCACACAGGCTGGTGTGCTTCTACCATGTGGACTTTGTTGCTTCTCAGCTGGTTGGCCGCTTGTTTATCTTCAAACCTTTAAGACTCCAGATGCATAGCTGTGTATTTTTATAATTATGGCCAAAAATGTGATACTTTACCCATGGTGGGTACCGAAGTTGCATTTTTCTGCCAGAAAAAACAATTATGTCACCATTAAAGCCTTGCTATGTAAATAATGTCTTTACACCCTTAGGGCAATTTTTTGAAAACTGTTTGATTAAAGAAAAGTGTATTTAAATTTATCTAAAATTAGTGATCTAAAATTATCTTTAAATTACATATATGCTTGTATAAACTTTATTTTAGGTCTTCATGTACTCATATAAATTATTTTTAACTGAAAACGTACAAATTAAATAGAACAAAGTAATTACTGTTAACACAGTTGATAGTTATTTATATAATATCTAGGTTATCATAATTCCAAAAATTCAGATAAAAAGAACAAAGGCTCGGCCTCTGGTCTTTTAAAATCTTCTAAGTGATGATTTTCCACTCAGCATAGTTCCTCTAGAATGGCTGTTCCACAACAGTATTCCTAATATTTCACTTAGAGATTTTGGCTGTATAAATAAAATAGTTTAATTCATGAAGTTTTTTGTTTAATAAGATAACTGCAACATAATCTTGTACTCAATGCTTTGATAACTGAAAGGTCAGAATCAGACTTGGTAGAACATAGTTCACCAAGGAAGGAATGCCACTGGCCAAAAAACATGTTATTTTAAAACTCACTGTTGCTAGTTGTCACCAAGCTGATTCAGACTCTTGATGAGCACATTTGTGTAAAACAGAACTGCTCCATCCAGTTTTCAAGGCTGTGATGTTTCAGAAGCAGAGCAATCCTGTGTGGGTTTGAGTTGTGTAAAAACTTATTTAACTGCCAATGAGGAATTTATCTTCTATATTATACTGGCAAAGTTTTGATGAGAAAATTTATTATAATTCTGTTCATGATACTTTTGAAAAAGAACACTTTCATACACTAATGGTGGGTTGATACAGCTTTGAAGCAACAACATGTACCCCCCCCAAAAGTAAAAACTTGCTATTCTTGAAACTACTAAATCTATTTCTTATGAATTTATCTTAAATAAATAAATGTAGACCAAAAAATATGTCAAAGAATATTTATTACAATGTTTTCTTAAATCAGAAGCCTCTAGATAATTGAAAATATAAGTTTGGTTAAATAAATTATCAGATTTATACTGTACAATATTATAACTTGATACAATAATATTTTAAGATATATTATTACTTTGGTAAGATAGTCCTGAGAAATTTTAAGTCATAAAAATCATATTAAATTAGTAGACATGGAATGGTAATATTTTGTAAATTAAAAATTTGGAGATGTGGAAAAATCTGGAAGACGGTTGAGAATGATCCTTGAATAGTGGAATTCTAGATGATTTCATGAAAATATTTTGTTGCTATGGATTTTAACTGTTTACTGCACTTGTTACTGGGTACATATATGTGCAAATCAATTTTTCATGCTTAAAAAAATTAGATATGGCACACTTAGTTGTTGAGTCATAAGAACAAAATTATCTAAAGTATAATCTTTCATTAGCAGAATTACTTAATGTCAAGTCTTTTACTTCATTAGTATTCTATTCAAAGTGGTATTGTTAATAATTTGTATATTAATTTGATATTTAAATTTTCATATAAATGATATGCATTCTTCATTATGTCACCACTTTATTTGATGACACTTGTTTGACAAAATGTTATGGATAACTAATTATAACAGACAAGATAAACCAAAATCAAACTTGCTGTCATCAAACCAATGCTGATTCATAGCAACCCCCAGTGGATTTCTGAGAATAAACTGTTAATGGAGTACTGTTTTTCTCACTGTTTGCAAAAGGGTTAAGGGGAGCACCTGGTAAGGAGCCCTGGTGGTGCTGTCAGGTAAAAGTTGGATTGCTAATATTGGCGTCAGTGGTTCAAACACACCACCTACTTCATGGATGGGAGATGAGGCTATCTGCTCCACAAAGATTTATAGCCTCAGAAACCTTAAGAAAATAATAGAGTTACTATAATTGGAATCAATTCAATAGAAGTGCATTACTTATTTTCCCTGTTCATCCATTTTTCTGAAATATTGCTCTGTTGGTTTAGCATTCAAAAGTAATATTCCACAATACTTTATTTGAAATGGTAGGTCCCATACTTGCTCTACCATCCAGTCTAAATGTTTTTATACTGAAATACAAGAAAATGTTTTCAATATTCCAGTATATTAAAAATGACTCATTACATCTTAACTGGATAAGCAAAAGAACTAGGATTTAGGAATATTTTATCAAGTATTTTATTGCAAAATAATTCTAGTAAACGTTTTCATATATTGCTTTGCTTTACTAATAATGAAACCCTACCACTTGTGGGAAAGTCACCAGTCTGAAGCTAGTTTCTTTTTTTCTATCTTAAATCTGTATTTATTGCTTTTTATGCCTGAGCCTATAACCATGCTTAGATTGTTTATATTCCGAAAATAATAACCTTGCATTTATGCAAGGATTGCACAGAGGCCATATCTGATATCATCTAGATACACAAGAGATAAGGAGACTCAACCTCTTCCTGAGGCCTATTGCCACAAGGCAGAGGTAAAACATACTTCTACCCTCCATCATTCTTTTTTTAAAATTTTACTATTAATTTGGAGTTCATACATATACATCATTTCATAGTTCAAGCACATCAAGCAGTATCACAAATTGCTACCACAGTCAGTTTTCAAACATTCTTTTTTTTTCTGGACTCCTTGACATTGTCTCTCTTTTACCCCACCCCCACCTGAAACCCCTATTCTACTTGCTGTCCCTATAGGTTGATCAATTCTAGGTTTCATATAACAAAAGACAGAAAGACACACAACACAATTTCAAGAGGGCGAACCCCAATGACATAACACTTCCATTATTCTTTACCCTATTCCAACACCAGGAGTTCTGCTTCTTTGCGGAGTACAATATTCTGCTGTAAAGGCCACACAGAACTCACAGACAACACTCACAATTGCGT